CGCCTAACAGTTTCGTCCACAATTCACTCCTTTCCCGTCACTGGTGGTAGGATAACTGGAAGCTACGCATACACACACACACACACTCATGATTCTCCTCTTAGTGAAAATTTGATCCATACTGGCTCTCTAAGAAACGCTCTAAGCTAGCGCGAAACCAGGCTTTTTCCGCCATCATTCCATGGGGTTTGTTTCTCTGTCCTAAAACAGCAAGAGTTGATGGAAATAAGGCCTCCGCAGCCCACCTGTTCACTTTCGACAGCTCCTTTCCCCTCACTGGTGGTAGGATAACTGGAAGCAACGCATACACACACACTCATGATTCTCCCCTCACCTGCTGCGCCACTCCCTCCATCATCTTCCGTCGGTCAAACGCCCGAAACGCCTCCACTGTGTTGGCAATCCGAAGCACTCCCGCTACCACACTCCGACCATCGCTGGAGGTAACCACACTGGTAACCACACACTTAGTTCACTCTCGTTCTCCCTCTCACCTGCTGTGCCACTCCCTCCCTCATCTTCCGTCGGTCAAAACGCCCGAAACGACTCCACTGTGCTGGGAATCAGTAGCACCCCTGCCTGACACCATGCTGCTGACATCCCTGGTAACCACACTCATAACCACACACTCACGCACGCACACACGCACGCATGCACGCACACACGCACACTCACTCATGCTCATCCTCTCACCTGCTGCGCCACTCCCTCCATCATTTTTCTCCGGTCAAACGCTTGAAACGATTCCACTGTGATCACCATCATCACGGTTCTCCTCAGGCCAATCTCACCTGCAACTACGCTCCTATCACACCGGTCATTACACAGGTAAACACACTCCCTCTCTTCCCCTCACCTGCTGTGCCACTCCCTCCATCATCTTCCGTCGGTCAAATGCTCGAAACGACTCCACTGTGTTGGCAATCCGTAGCACCCCTGCCACGACGCTCCTGCCATCGCTGGTAACCACACTCCTGCTCTCGTTGCTGTTCGCAACATCTGTGCTGCTTGCGCTAGTGATGTGACCGGTGCTACTGACAGCGCTGCTGCTGCTGCTGTTGCCAGCAGTGGCGATGACGTCAGAAGCAGCAGCGACCTCGGCAGTGGTGGTGACGTCAGCACTGGTGCTGTCCGAAGTATTGGTGGTATCATCCGGTTGAATGAGGTGGAAGCGAGGAGGTGGGGCAGGGGAAGGGGGGAAGGAGGCGGAGGAGAGGGAGAGGAAGGAGGGGAGCTGAGAGTGTGAGGATGGAGTGAAGAAACCTGTGAGTGAGGAAAAAGATTGGGAGAAAATAATGAAAAGGTTAAAAAAGGGGATTACCGAAGAATACATGAAGGGCGAAGGCTTATGCCGCTGAAAACACAGAACAGGTAGAGTGAACCATGCTTCCTTGGTCCGAAATCAGCTATAAACTCTTCCTTCCCTTGACGAACAGCCGTTAATACCACGAATAAGATATACTAATTCAGCATAAGCTGTCGTTATTTTGCAGCCAGCAAATCGAATCTTCAGCCAGCGACACGCAGCCTACCATGGATTGCCACGTCTTCCTCTTTCAGGCCTTGCGAGTCGACCTTCAGCGACGCGAGCTTCTCCCAGAACGACACGTCAACGGAGCTCTGCCACGTGGCGAACTGCAGGATGGATGACGTGGCCTCGCCCGCCATTCTGCGTTCGTGCGCAACTCCTACAATCGAATTAATATTTTAGAACTGTGATAAGCTGTACGCAGTCTAGGCGTGCCGTCAGAATGTACAATCTACGGAAGAGTACAGTATAACATCGTACACACGATTACAGCAACATGCGAAGCAATTTTACTAACTATTGTAGGATTCGATAATCTGTACAGTAGGCTAGCTGTGCCGGAGTACTTTGAATGGCCAGGTTGCGCCGTGAGCAGGAACCCAAGCGCGCTACGGCTTGCAGCTAACGGTGCAGACGGACTGAAATAGGAGTAAATTCACACTGAAGTGTGGTGCAGACGGACTAGAATAGGAGTATATTCGACCCAGGCGCGTTTGCGGTTACTCATTCCATTTCTAGGCTACGCGAGATGTCACTGTGGCGAGTCGATTACCCAGTAACCTCGCATTACCCCTTCCCAGATTAACCTCACCTCGACCTAAAACGAATCTGTCCCGACCTGAACTAACCCCGACTCGCTAAAGTGAACGCATCTTGAGATCCACCAAGGCTGTTCGCATGTGATGTTACCGTAGCGTCGCAATAGGTCGCCAGTCGCGAGCTTTGCTGTGTTTCTTCGCGATTCACAAGCCTGTGATAGGGCCTGTAACAAGGACAGGGTGCAGCTATTATTTGAAAGAATAGCATTGCTGAAACACACTACACTTTTATTGCACAGCTGGACAGCACACAATGATTTTGCTCATAAAAAAATGCAGATTACATTACAAGCACCCCGTCAATCGTGGGACATGACCAGGTCCCATCGCCATAGCCAGCCATCATCATCGCAGCTCATTATAATCCTGCAAAGCGAGCGAGGGCAAGGGAGATTACGTATTTAGTTATTTTCTGAAGCGTGTACCATATGAAAAAGCATAGTGAGAAAAAAAAATCAGGCACATGCAGTGGGCAGTGCGGTTACCTGCCATCATGTGACACGGCTGTTTGCCTGATTTGTGTTTTACAGTCCTTCCGTGAAAGCCTGTTGGGAATCCAGACAGTGGGAAAAAAAGACTATTAATGAGTTGTTATATTTTCAACATTACCGGTATGAGTTAAGAGCCAAAACTGTCACCGAATCAGCACGAGCATTAATAAAGAAAAGAAAAGAAAAGAAAACCCATCTTTTGCATACAACGCCAAGCCACACCAAACGTGTCATGACATGTCATGGCCATCCCACTTACGTGCTGAGGAGAATGGGGGGGGTTGATTGCAGATCGTACACATACACCTTGCCCACACAGTTGCCTGCGGTGGTGGAGAGGGGTGGTGGTGGGTGACACGGTAACAAAGGGATGCATGGCATGGTGTTAGTAAGAGCGAATAGGAGGGCAGGATTGCAGGTCATACACATACACCTTGCCCACACAATCGCCTGCAATGGTGGAGATGGGTGGTGATGGGTGGCATGGTAACAAACGGATGCATGGCATGGTGTCATCAGGAGCGAATAGGAGGGTTTGATTGCAGGTCATACACATACACCTTGCCCACACAATTGCCTGCAGAGGTGGCAAAGGGTGGCACAGTATGCATGGGATGGTGTCACTAAAATTGAATTGAATGCAGGTCATATACATACACCTTGCCCACACAGTTGCCTGCGGTAATGGAGATGGGTGGTGATGGGTGGCACGGTAACAAAGGGGATGCATGGCATGGTGTTAGTGAGAGCGAATGGGAGGGCTTGATAGCAGGTCGTACCCACACACCTTGCCCACATAATTGCCTGCTATGGTGGCCAAGGGTGGCATGGCGATACATGGCATGCCACAGTAATCGATTTTATCTTACGGAGTAACTATTGTACCAGGACAGGAATATATACACAAAGGAAGAAAGACCATACTAGGATAAATTATTGTAGCAATAATAACAGTAGTAGTACTAATGAGAATAACGTGATTTCTGAGTCAACTATAAAAAACAAAAGTGAGAGGGGTGATGAACCAGAGGGTGATTCTTCGATATAACTCAAAAAAGAAGGGTAAGGGAGGATCGTATACCTATGGCCATGATGTTGTTCATGAAGTCAAGGTCGAACTTAATGAACCAGAAGCCACAGTCTGGCACTGGGTAGCGCTGCAGAATGTCCAAGGCTCCCTGGAAAGACAGGATGACAGGATGACACAGATTCGTACGAGTAGATTCGTATGAGTAGAAAAGGTGGGATACTTTCAACAAGGCGGATCAATGAACTCGGTGGTACCGGTATGCTGGTTTGATTGACTTGACAATGCGGTGATGTGCTTATAACAGCAAGGCGTGTTTTGAGTCGACTCAAAACACAACGAACGTGGTGGCATGCTGGTTTGATTGACTTGACAATGTGGCGCAATGCTTATAACAGCAAGGCACGAAATGCCTACACGTCAGCAGGGCGAGGTGATTACATCAGCAGGGCCGCATGCTTACATCAGCAGAACGAGATGCTTACATCAGCAATGCGAGGTGCTTACATCAGCAATGCGAGGTGCTTACATCAGCAATGCGAGGTGCTTACATCAGCAATGCGAGGTGCTTACATCAGCCGGACGAATGGTTTACCTCATTAGGGTGGGCAGAGCCGGGTTCAGTACCAGGCTTGTGGCACCAGCGCCATAGGATGACCTCGTTGTCTACACTCTATAATCAATGCGCAATCAGAGGAACATACCATAAGAGGAACCAAAAATTCGAAAGCACGGGGACACAAAAAAGCAGAGTGGATGTGTAAGAATTCACAGGCAGTTGCACAGACAGTACACATAGAACATATTAATACATGCATATAAACCACAATTTGATAATTTATAATAGAGGGACATACTTTAGAGAGCACGAAGTCTCCATTCCACCGAAGGCAGTCAATGTAGTTGGTGTGTACGTCACACACCACGTATAGCTGGGTGGCATGCGGTGCGAAACGGTGGGGGAGGGTGAAGGGAGCAGCCAGGAATGAGAGGCAGTCAATGTAGTTGGTGTGCAGAAAACACATTACACACAGCAAGACTATGTGGCAGGAAGGGGGAAGGTGGGGCAGGAGGGAGGGAGTGCGGAGGGGCAGAAGGGCGCGAAGTGGGATCAGACGTTGAAAACGACGAGGAATGAGAGGCAGTCAATGAAGTTGGTGTGTGTGTACGTCACAAACCCACGTACAGCTGGGTTGTGGGATAGGAAGACGGGAGTGGGAGGTAATACAGTTGTAACAAAGGTGCCTTAACAACATGACTCACAGGGTACTGTAGAATCTTGGTCGGGAACTTCGATGGGAGGTCGTTTTGAGTCGACTCAAAGCATATAAGGTGCCTTAAGAAAAATGACTCACAGGGTACTGTAGAATCTTGGTTGGGAACTTGGATGGGAGGTCTGTCCAAGTGAAGGACTGGTCTACCACGTGCCAGCACTCTGGTGAAGGGAAGGAGTGAAACAGAGAAAGAGAGGGAGAGAAGGTGGAGAGGTACGTGAGAGGCGTGGATGGGAGGTCTGTCCAGGTGAAGGACTGGTCTACCACGTGCCAGCACTCTGGTGAAGGGAAGGAGTGAAACAGAGAAAGAGAGGGAGAGAAGGTGGAGAGGTACGTGAGAGGCGTGGATGGGAGGTCTGTCCAGGTGAAGGACTGGTCTACCACGTGCCAGCACTCTGATGGGGGGAGTTGGGAAGTTTTAGAACAGAAAGAAAGGAATGGAGGACGATAAGGATGGGGAGAGGGAGTGAGCAAGAAATAGTGAGGGCCTCTAGGAAACTTGGATGGGAGGTCTGTCCAAGTGTTGGACTGCTCTACGACGTGTCAGCACTCTGGTGAAGGGAAGTGAGGAGGAGAGGAGACAACCAGAGAAAGACAAGGAGAAAGTGTGGAGACATTCGTGAGAGGCTTGGATGGGAGGTCTGTCCACGTGTTCCCATCCAAAAAAACTGCTCTACGACGTGCCAGCACTCTGACGGAGGAGAGGCGACAAGGAAAGGAGACAAATGGAGAAAGACAGGAAGAGGGGTTGGGAAAATTCGTGAGAGGGTTTGGATGGAGCGTTTGCCAGTGTCCTTGCAGGAGTCAGGACTTTCAAGGCGCCTATCTATTCGACTTTTAAGGTGCCTTCAATTTTGTGAAAGGGTTGCTGCTGTCCATGCCACAGCCGGCGATGATGGCCCCACTGTGAGTGCGAGAAAGAGTGTAGTGAGTGTGAGAAGGGCGTAGCATGGGTGTTCTAGTGCGAGTACTGTCACCAAATACAGTGGTAAAGAACAATATATTTGGTTGTACGCTATAGTTGGAGTAGTGAGGTGTAGGGTTGGGGTTATGCGACTTTACAGAAGGGTTGTTGAGCTTCAAGGAAATGACGCGAAGTTGGTAGCAAGGGGAATTGGGACATTGGGAAGAGCCACAAGCGCCTCGAGGAGCAGGGAATCTGCAGCAACCAGTAAGGCAAATGGCGACTCGAACCCAACCCAAGGCCAGGGAAATGTTCGCGACTCTGGGTAGGGAATAAAGCACCCTAGCCTAGACACTAGGATCCGCTCTCTCGTTTTGTTTGCCTACTATAGTGGATTCAATTCACCGTTCTAAGGCTACGGCAGCTAGGTGATACGCCACAGAGGGCAGCCAGCTTGTGGGAGCAGGGATCTCTCACAAAACGAGAGAGGGCTTAGTGGCGACATGGATTGCCACGATCAACGTGTGCAGCGTACGTACTCGCGGCGGGAACGATCTCCGTCGCGGAGAAGACGCTCGAGGGAGCGCGGGAGATCGCCGACGCGCTCGCTACGTCGGGCGGCGTACCGCGCGGATCCGGTGACGCCGACGGACGTGCGAAGGGAAGAAAGTGAGAAGGCCAACGCGGGACGGGTGGAAGGCGTGACAACGCCGACGACGACGGATTGCCCACTGCGCGGGGCGGAGGAGGGCGTGAAAACGCCGACGACAACAGATCGCCCACTGCGAGGGGCGGCGGAAGGCGCGAAGACGCCGACGACGACGGATCGCCCACTGCGCGGGGCGGCGGAAGGCGTGCAAACGCCGACGACGAAGGATCGCCCACTGTGCGGGGCGGCGGAAGGCATGAAAACGCTGACGACGACGGATCGCCCACTGCGCGGGACGACGAGAAGCGTGAGAACGCCGACGGCGTCGGATCGCCCACTGCGCGGGCCGGCGGAAGGCGGGAAAACGCCGACGATGACGGATCGCCCACTGCGCGGGGCGGCGGAAAGCGTGAAAACGTCGACGATGACGGAGCGCCCACTGCGTGGGCCGGCGGAAGGCGTGAAAACGTCGACGAAGACAGATCGCCCACTGGGCGGGGCGGCGGAAGGCGTGACGCGGCCGACGAGGAGGAGTTCCCCACTACGCGGGGCGGCGGAAAGCGCGACATCGCCAACGATGAGCAGGCTTTCCCTGTTGCGCGGGAAGGAGGAGGGCAAAGGTACAAGAGGAGGGATGAAAGGGAGCGAGCCCGACACGAAAAGGTGCGGGGAGAGGACGAAGAGCACGGGAACGAGGAGTACTCACCTGCGGGACGGCAGGAAGAGGGAAAGAGAGCATCAGCGGGTGTCTACCGCTCGCCTGAGCCGAGACCCGGATATGACCGCCGACGGCGCATGGCGATGGGTGAAGGTCGGTGGGCCGAGCGGGAACAGCGGGAAGAGAGGTTGGACTATGAGGAGCGACGTCAGCAGAGCCCGCCTGAGTGGGAGCAGGTATGCAACAGAGAAGGACGAGAAAGGGGAAGGCGATCACCGCTCGGCTCCAGAGCAGAAGGAGGAGGTCGGCAGCGGAGGGAGCAAGAGTGGCATCGCCAGGAACGTTCACCTGTGCGGGGAAATGGACGTTGGGAGGATCAGGAAAGGTGCAGGAGACAGTGCGAGGACGCCCAGAGGAAAGGTCAGAGTTCCAGTGGCACTAGGAGGCTATGGCAGCATGGAGAAGGATCGAGTGGGGCCAGGGCAGCTCGTGAGGGACTGGAGCGAGCACTGTACGGGACAAGCGCAGGAAGCAGAGGAGATAAAGGAAAGCAGCGAGGGGCTGCTCTGACAGATCGGGGAGGCTCGGGGAGTTGGGATTTGGGGAGATGGGGCGCAACGGCAGTACCACGGGTGGAGGTGCCGGTACGCTTCACAGGGAACGAGAACACAGGACCAAGCCTCAAGAACTACCTGATGCAGATCAGCAATGTGAAGTATCGGTGCGAGCGAAGCGGGATGGACCCCATAGACTTCTTCTTGAGCCTGCCAAACACACTCGGGGGGGAAGCAGAAACCTTATATCGCATGAAGATAGGAGAGTGGTTGAGGAGGGCCGATGAAGATGAGGAGGACCCGACGGTGCTATTTCTGGACCGGCTGAGAAAGCAGTTTCCAGGGCACACAGCGGCGCGCATCAAAGAGTTTCAAGAGTTCAAGAGGAGGGACGAGGAATCTTTGCTAACGTACTACGGCCGGCTGATGAATCTAGCAGAGGACGTGGTGTGCACGGACAGCAGTATGATCATTAGTAAATTCCTAAATGGGCTGGACAAGGGACTGGCAGGGGGACTGAGAATGCGGGTTTACGAGCTGGGAGCAGATGCGACACCTGAAGAGGTGTTTGAGCTAGCAGAGAGAGTGGAGCTGGCACAGAGAAAGTATGAGGTGTACCTGCCGCGGCCAACAGAGAGGAAGAATCCTGCTTGGGCTGCAGCAATGATACCTGAGACGGGAGGAAGAGAAGAGAGCCGACAGGAAAGAGGAGCTGAGACACGCACCTGCCACCGATGCAAGCAGCCAGGGCATCTGATGAGAAATTGCAGGAATTGCGACACCTGTGGGAAGCCAGGCCACCGCCGAAGGGACTGCCCGGATGCACCCAGCTGCGAGGTGTGTGGGAAGCGGGGGCATAAGGGGAAGGACTGCTACCAACGCACAGGAGGGCCAAGGAGGACGCCAGAGGAGATAGAAGGGCAGATAGAGAGATTGCAAGCATAGCTGCAGGCACTGGGAGGGAAGAAGGAGAAAGAGGCAGGATTGTATGCAAGGGAAGAGGATGACGAAGCAGAGGTGATAGATGAACCAGCGTCTGAGTACAATTTCATGGTGTTGCGCAGCCGAGAGGAGTTGGGCCTGCGCAGCGGGGGCAGGGATGGAAGAAAAGAGCAAGAGGTGAGGAGCAGGCCAAAGAGAGCCCCAGAGGAGAAGGGTAGTGGGGAAGAAGAGCCAGCCAGGCATCCCAAGGAACGGCTAGCCAGTCAAGCGACGGTGCTGGTGGCAGGAGCGGGAACAGTGGCAGTGGGAGGGGAAGTGGCAAGAACTGCGATTATAGATACGGGGGCACAGAGTGTGATGTTGGGGAGGCGGTTAGCAGAGAAGCTGGGGTTGAACGGGCCGGGACAGCACATAAAACGAGGAATGCTAGTAATGACAGCAGAGGGAGGTGAGCCTAAGTCCCTGCCGTGCACCAAGACTCCAGTGGAGATAGTCCTGATGCCGGGGAAGGAGGAGCAGACTAGTATAAGGCTGCAATGTGGGATTTCAGACTCAGAAGATTTTGATGTACTGCTGGGCACAGACCTGATTTGGGGAGTAGGGATGACCATCTGCACGTGGAAAGAAAAGGTAAAGTTTCGGAAGCAGTATTGGGAGCGGGGGAGCAAGACGGGAGAGCTGCCTGTGTCATTCACTAAGCAGGAGCCAAAGAGGGCGTACACGGGCGAGCAGATGGGGACCAGGGAGAGAGGGAGAGCAGGGATCGTGGGAAAAGCAGCAGCAGTCAAGGCATGGCAAGAGCCGATAAGGCTAGTTGAGCTGTTTGGGGGAATAGGAGCAGGGCTGGCAGCAGTGCTCAAGGCAGGAGTGGCCGTAAGGGAATGGGTATACGTGGAAAATAACGAACAGGTGAGGAAGATGGCAGAGCACCATGCGAGAAAGCTGCAGCAAGAGTACCCCGAGCTACTAGAAGAAGCAGTGATAGTGAAGGCAATGCGAGGAACAGTGACTGATGTAAGAAGCATCACGCGGGAGGTGGTGAGGAGCTGGGGGCATGTGGACCTGCTGGTGGCCGGATGGGAGTGTCAGGCTGTGTCAAGGGCAGGGAAAGGAAAGGGATTAGGAGATCCAAGAGGGGCGCTGCTGGTGAACTTGCTGTGCATCATAGACTGGATTAAGGAAGGACAGGAGAAGGTGGTATACCTGCTGGAGCACCTGGATCTGGAAGGGGACTGCAGGGAGCCTGTCAGGAAAGTGCGGGAGTTAGTGACAAGGAAGCTGGGGAAAGGGGTAAGATGTGATGCGGCCAGGCTGGGGGCTCGAGCTCATCGTGTCCGGCGATACTCGCAGAACGTGGTCACAGATGAGCAACTGCAGCAGGAGCTGGATGGAATACGCAGGGACTGGAGCAGGACCGTGCGAGAGATTCTAGAGCCCGGGAGGACAGCGGCACCTGTCAGGAAAGGCAGGCATGAGACACAATGCCCATGCAACAAAGTGGGGGCAGAGCGCAGGGCATGGCCGACATTAGTGGGGTACGAAGGGGCAGCTGGGTTCAGAATGGAAAACGGGCTGCCAGGAGAAGGCATGGTGTATGACTGCCGTTCAAAGAGATGGGAGGAGCCAAGTGCGTTAGAGAGGGAATGAGCAATGGGGTATGGAGAGGAGGCCACCAAGGCAGCAGGGGT